TAAACTGTAGGAACTGGAAGGTTTCCAAACGGCGAGCTGCTGGGAGCGTGGAAACAGTTTCACATACAGGGTGCCCTTGGCGTTCCCCTAGGGAGGAGCAGTGGGTAGTGCGGCGAGCATGGTGAGCACGCACGGCCCATGGGCCTCCTCGGCACAGCTGCCTGGTGTGCACCGTTCCCTCACACGGACGGCTGAGCCCAGCTCCCTTTGGTGATACACACCAGATTGCTCAGCATAGCTTTATCCTGATGCAGTCAAGGGAAATTAGTCAACTGCAAGCTTGGATGATGCCACTAACAAGCTGGCGGGGGTTCAGAAGAGCAGATTCCTCCACTGTGGCCACGGCTCACACAGCGATGGCGAGCATGGTTTTGATTACTGCACATGTTCCTCCCTGATGAGGGCAAGAACATCTTGGTCTTCTTTACTTTCCAGCCCCCTCTGCAGCCCCCCACATGTACGGACCTTTACACTAGCCAAGCTGTTTCAGGTCTGTTGCCTCACTGGATCCTCACAGGAACCCCTGGAGGGTAAACAGAAGATGAATTAGCACCTTCTTATGCATACGAATCTGTGACCCAAGGTTCAGTGACTTTCCCAAGGCCACACAGGGAGTATATGGCAGGGCAGGATGTGGACCCAAGTGTCCTGACTCCCGCCTCAGAGTACACAACCCCAGGAATCAATATTGATGGTATATATTAGGTAGAATGTAGATGAAGTTTAAAATTTACGTGGAAAATGGAACTGGGAAGTTTGGGACTGCAAGGTATAGGACACCTGAATAAAGGCTGCTTTAGCATATAGGCATCTCATAATCTCACGGAAGAGATGTGGAGCAGGGCGGCTGCAGGTTTGGTATGATGCTTCAACAGTGTCCTCAAGGACCCACATTGGCTCCATCTTCCTGACCTTTGCTCTCCATTCTTAATCTTGTCACCCCCGTTGTTGCACAATGACTGCTACAACCCCACAATGGCATCCCAAGTGGGAAGGAAGGAGAGAAGGAAGGCATTGGGTAGAGGAGAGTTTTCCCATAATGGCAAGAAAAAAAACTCATTAAACTTTCCAGAAAATGAACCCTTACATTTAGTTGGCTGGGAATGAATCAAGGGACCATCTCTAGCTTCAAGACAAGCTAGGAAAGCATGCTTTTAGCAGAGGAGGATGGGATAGATGTGATTGGCTAAGTCTGGTTTTGCTTCAGGCTTTAGGAATGGGTATCTTGTCACTCTCAACCAACTCAGTCAGCAAGGGAGACAGAGGACAGGGAAATAGCTGCTTTTTTTCAACAACTGCCCACCTCAGTCCAATATGGACTGAGAACGTTGGAGAGACTCTTCTTCAGGTTGGACTGTGAATTGCTTCCTGGATCCTCAGATGATGTTCCATTTGTGGACTGAAAGTCATGGTCCCATTTGTCAAGGGCTAATTTCAGAATTGTGTAAATGTGTTTTTGTTTGTTTTTTTTTTTAGTCCATGCCTCCTCAGAGGAGATCTAAGCTCTATGACCATTGAGCGACAATTTTTCAAGTGCTTTTCTGTGACTAAGAACCAAGGTTAAAGAGGAAGCAAAAGTCAGACTGATAGAAAGCATAGAATCTTGGGGGCCAGAGAAGAGAAATTGGGGACTTTGAGGTCCTCAGGTCAGTAGCTATAAGGTCAAACTACCTGGGTTTGAATTAGGACTGCACCCCTTGTATACTCCCCAGGGACTTTGGGCAAGTTGGCCATCCTTGGTTTGCCCCGGTTTCCCCATCTGTGAAGGGGGAGTAATTGGAAGGGCTTACCGCATGAGGTTGAGGTGTCCCGTGAATGAAGTCCAGTCTGTGCCCAGGTGGAGTCAGGGCTCAGTAACAGTGAGTTGCATATGTCAGTATTATCACTGCTCCTACTTGCTTGTTAGCAAGCACCTCGGCACTGAAACAGGATAATCTCTGTCACTGTTGTAGCAGCTGTAGTTCTGGCCCTCTTCAGTCTGTCCCTGTAGTGTGTCCAAAAGCGGTGGGCTCAAGCTCATCTCTTTATTTCCCCCACTTCCCTGTGCATAGCCCTCCATGGTCCTCACTCCACACACTTAAAGTCCAAACCCCTTAGCCAGACTTTGCTTGAGAGCTGGGCCTGTGAGAGGTGGTTCTGGTTCCCTTCCTCTGGAGCTCTGGGCTGGGTTTTTGGTCACTGCAGTGGAAACATGATGACACTCATTTGAACACGTTGTACTTGGGCACCTACTGTGAGCCCACCCCTGTCGTTGTCACTAGGGGACATACTGAGGAACCGGATATGGACCCTTACAGTGTGGCCCCACCTGTGGTGAGGGATCCAGGCACCAGGCTGTTAGGATTTGGGAGTTTACAGGAGAGGAGCCTCACCTACACCACAGGCTGCTTCTCAGAGGAGGCAGGAATGAGCTGATCCAGAGGATGAATAGGAATCAGCTGGGAGATGCCAGAGCAAGGCTCCAGGCAGAGGGCCCTGTGTGGGAGGACAAGATGGGATATATCAGAGGACAGGAAGGGAGTTAGGGCTGCCAGTGCCAAGTCTCTAGGGAGGGATAATGAATGAGTGAAGTTGGGAAGGTCAACAGGGCCAAGTGTCCAGAGCCCTACCGTACCCTGGGAAGGCTGATTTGCAGAGCAGTGGAAAGTGTGAATGGGATTGGCAGGATGCAGCATGATCCAATTTGTGTTTTAGAAGGACCCAGCCTCGCCATAGTGCAGAGAATCATGCTTGATGAGAGAAGTGAAGATAAGAGCACTCAAATTTCCACTCCCTAGTTGTGAGTTTGGACAAAAACAAATGGTCATATTCTGGGATAAAAAATAATGGGAAGGTCGGCATTGGCCTGTGTGGAAGGTGGTGTCACTGCTCATGAGCAGTGCTCTGACCCATACCCGCAGAGCCTCCCAGAGTGACCGGGGAATATCAAGTTCCTCTCCTTTCCTCGATTCTGTTGTCACTCACGTGTGACCCACACACGGGTCCTTTGGCTCCGTAAAACCAAAGACAGGAGCTGGAACTATATCTGCCCAAGTCTGGGATGCTCTTTAGATCCCACCTGGATCATGCACTGTCAGTCATGGCCACGGAGCCACTCCTGAAGGACTGTCAGTTAACTGTATACACCCTAAACGCTGCCATATATCAGCACATGCTCTAGAACTTCCTTCCTCAAACAAGGAAAGAATATTGAGCACTTAAGCACAATTTTATATAGGGGCACCGATTGAGAAAGTCACCTATGTGAACGAATCGAACCCCTAGTTATATTGCTTTTTTGTTTGTTGGCATGTATCCTTAAGTTATTTGGTACCACTAAAATGGTTAATTGTGTTCTCTTGGCTATTTCATCTCTTTGCAGTATAATGAGGAGCTTCACTATGTGGAACCTTGCCTGAACGGGACATTGGTGCAAGCTGACAGGACAAACAAGGAGGTAGGGTCTGTGGCCGGGCAGGTGCATCAGGGGTCATGGCATGACCTACTCTCCCTCATGGTAGTGGCTGATGCTAATTCTATTCTACTTTTTAGGAACTCATCAAATGTATTGCCTTTAATCATGGCAGTAAAATAATTACATTTAGTTCAGAAGCTCAGTAGTTCTGAAATAATTGCATTGATTTACTTTTTCTTGCTTTATGTACGTCCTGTGTCATGCTTGATACCTATGTTGAAACCATTGAAAGAAAATAGCTTTTGCTGAGATTTCAAAGAAAATTGAACCCACTTGTTAAATCTGTTGTTGCTCTTCCTACAGCTGATTAAATAATCATTGGGGTATCTATGGGGGTAACTTGTCTCCCAGGTTAGAAGGTAAGCTTTATGAGGACAGGGATGATGTCTGCTCACTGCTGTGTGTTCAGTGCTCTGAGCGTTGGAACAAATGAAGGATGTGTTAAAGGAGGACCTTGGGAAATGGGGTAAAAGTTTCTCTTCCTATTGGAGCATTCTGGGAAAATGCCCAGAATAGGTTTCTATAAAATAAATCCTTTTTCCCCTTATCCATCTTTAAACTTATGAGTACAGACCACTATAGGTACCACTATAGCACCCCCTACAGGGCCGGGTGACAAGTTAGGTCAAATTAGCTGTGTAGCAACAATATCACACCTCCTAGGACACACAGCTGCCATTACTCGTGTTGTTTCATTGTATTTGCCATGACAGGCTGCTCCTCTCCTGGAGAGCAGATTCCCATGACGTGGCTCAGGGCACTGCCAGGGTAGGTTTCTGTGAGGCACTGTGCCTGTTCTGGGGAGACCCCTCGTGGCTCAAGTGGGCAGGGAGTGGCATTGGTGGCATCTTAGGTGCAGGTGGCATTTCTGAGGGCGTGAACAACAGAGGATTAGGAGAAATTCATGTCAGCTAGAACACAGAGTGAGAAGGAAAAATTATACCAGAGCTAATGTCCAAGCTTCAATTTGAGGGGCAAGAAACACTGTAATAGGCTTTATGTTAGGAGGGTAGAAGAAGTGCATTGTAGCTCAAAGAGCAGGTGTATCTAGGGAATGTTTGTTCATGGTCACTTTGTAGGGAATGAATGATTTAAACCTATAGCCAAACTTTCCTAGGGACCTTCCCCTTGTTTGACCATTGCCTGGGTCTGGATTCTGCCCCATTCCCAATATTATAGCTTTGGAATATCCTCCAGAGCCTCAGATAGGTGTCCAGTGATGGTGCCTGCAACATTAAATAGAAAAGATGCTTGGGGTGCGTGGGTGGCTCCGTCGGTTGTGTGTCCGACTTCTGATTTCAGCTCAGGTCATAATCCCAGAGTTGTGGGATCAAGCCTGCATCGGGCTCCGTGCTGAGTGTGGAGCCTGCTTAAGACTCTTTCTCTCTCACTCTGCCCCCCACCCTGTCTAAAGTAAATAAATAAAAATTTAGAAAAGATGCTTAAAATGGTCATGGCCTCCCTTCAGATTGCTTCCCAAATAAACAAGGAGCAGTGTGATATTTGGATGTATGGAGTCTTATGAAAGGCAAAAAAGATTGTTAGATAAAGCAGGCTAAGCATTTATTTAAAACTGTCTTTGGAAATGTGTGAATATTGAAGACTGGATCAGTTTTGAATATAAAAATGTATCTAGACATCTAATTCTGACAATGAGGAACAGCCATATTCCAATCAGATTCTTCCCCTTACAACTAAAAAACCCTGGAGGTAACCCAGTAAACAAGAATAGGAAGACTCTGGAAGGTGAAAAAGGAAGATGAGCTTCCTGGACTTAAATGCATAAGCTGAGTTCCCTGGGTTTTCTTGTTGATTCCCACCATCTGTCTGAATGGAGCACACCAGGACCCTCCCTCTCATACCTACAATAGGCAGAGACCAAAAATAATAATTAAAAAAAAAGAATTCAAGAAAAGCCTGTTCCTTCTAGCCTAACAGCCAGGAAGGGGGTAGCCTCAAACAGAAAACCTTCTTGACAATACCTTTACTACTGCACACAAACACCAGTGGGATGACCGTAGTGGGCAGCCCTCCACCCCTTCAGGGCTCAACGAGGAATCGACCTTCCACCTCACCCGCATCCACTGGGCCCTTGTGCTATACCTCAACACAGAGACTGGCTGCTAGGAAAAAGATTATATAGGATCCAGAGTCTTGTAACATAAGACCTAACGTGCCCAGAAAGCAGTCGAAAACCCCTAGTCATTCCCCAAACCAGGCAAATCACAACATGAATGAGAAAAGACCATCAACAGAAGCCAATGTTGACATGAATCAGATGTTGAAATTATAAAATTGCTTCAACAAGCAATTAGGAATTCTCTTGAAACAAGCGAAAAAAAAAACTCAGCAAAGAAATAGAAGTTATTAAACAGAACCAAATGGAAATTATAGAACTGAAAAATACAGTCACCAAAATAGAAAGCTCACTGGACCGGCTCAGTAGTAGAGTGGAGATGACAGAAGACAAAATCAGTAAACTTCAGGACAAATCGATAGAAATTACCCAATTTGACCAGCCGAGAGAAAATAAACTGGAAGAAAATGAACAGAGTCTCAGGGACATGTGGAGTGATAACAGAAGAGCTAACATTCATAGCACAAAAGTCCTAGCAGAGGAGAGGCAGAGTAAGACTAGATATGTTGGCTGCAAACTTCCTAAAATTAGTGAAAGGCATAAACAGACATATTCAAGAGGCTGAGTAGACTCCAAATAGGATAAACCCAAGTCACTCCATGGAAGGGCACATCATAAATATAATTAGAAAAGGGGAAAAGAAATAACTTGATGGCCACAGAGAGAAGGGCCACATTGCTTAGATTACCTATTTGTATGACAGCAGACTTCTCATATGAAATCATGGAGGCCAGAAGGAAGTGGCATAGCATCTTTTAAGTATTCAGGGAAAACAACCATCAGTCCAGGACTCTGTATTCAGTGAAAATGTGTTTAATGAATGAAGAGAATAAAGACATATGCAGATGAAAGAAAACTATGAACATTTTTTACCAGCAAACCTACCCAGAAAAAAAAATGGCTAGAGAAGTTACCTAAATAGAAGGGAAATAACAGAAAGAGGCTTGAATCTTCAAAAAGGACAGATATTGGAATGGGTAAAAATAGGAATAAGTGTAATAGAGTATCCTAATTATCAAGAGATTATTAGGTCATACTTGATAATTGAAGCAGAAATTATAGCATCATCTGATGTAGAGGCCACTGTTGCTGAGGAAACACTTAAGCCGATTATATTTTTAAAGTATGGAGGGTAAAAGGACCTAATTAGAAATAAGATTTCTACATCTTTCTGAAAGTGGTAAGTGCTGATATCAGTCGACAGTGATACATTACATATTCATATTACAACACCCAGAGCAATTAAGAAAACAATGAAAAGAGGTATACAGGTATCCTCCACTTTTGAAAGTTCACTTTACACTGTTTTGCTTTTATAAAAGACCTACATTAACACCTGTTTTTGCTAACCGAAAGATATCTGAAGAGGATTTTCACTTTTATAAAGAAAGACAAAAAGCAAACATAGCATCCAGCATTTGTTTTGCTGTGAGTTATTATAGAGGCAGGGTGCACCCTGAGCAGTGAGAGCAGTCCTGCCAAGCTCTTTCCCCAGGAATCACACTTCGCAACTTTGCATGAAGCCTCCAGAGCTTTGAACCTTGTCTGTGAGCATCTGTGCTTTATCTCCGTTTATTTTGTGTGTCCCTTAGCAAGATGTGTCCTAAGGTGTCCGAAAAGCCTAGGAGATTATTTTTGGGTCTGGGAACACTCAAAAAAGTTTCCATATAAATTATTGGTAATTGCTTCTTTTCTTTACACCATTTTAGCTTATGACAAGTTTCACACGAATGTTCTACTTGCGGATAGAGGGGGGAATGTACTTAAAAAGTAACTCATAGGAATGTAAAAAATAAGACACAACAGGAAAAAGGATAAATTGACAGACTTAAGCCCTGCCGTATCACTAATGGTCTTAAATGTAAATGGTCTGAGCACATGGATTAAAAGACAGAGGTTGGCAAGTGGATTTAAAAAAAAGTCTAATCATATGCCAACTACTAGAGTTTCACTTGAAATGCAATGACATAGATATGTCGAAAGTAAAAGGATGGAAAAGATATACCATGCAAATATTAATGAAAAAAAAAGCAGGAGTGGTTCTGTCAATATCAGATAAAGCCACCTTCAAAGCAAAGAAAATTACTATTACTAGAGACAAAGAAGGACAATACATAATAATAAAAGAATCAATCCACCAGGAAGACATGACAATGCTAGATGTGTTTGGACCAGAGTTTCACATACGGAGTTTCAAAATACGTGAAGCAAAAACTAATAGAACTGAGAGTAGAAATAGATAAACCTACAATTATAGCTGGGGACTTGTACACTTCACAGTCAGTAACTAATAGACTACTGAAAAGAAAGTCGGCAAGGATATAGAAGAACTGACCGACCGATAAGATCTAAATAACATCTATAGAACACTCTACCCAACAGCAGCAGAATACACATTCTTTTCAGGCACTCATGGAACATTCACCAAGATAAAACATACTCAGGGTCGAAATACAAACCTTAATAACTTTAGCAGAGTTGAAATCATATAGAACATGCTTTCTGTTGATAATGGAATCAAACTAGAAATCAATAACAGAAAGACGACAGAAAAATCTCCAAACACTTAGAAATTAAGTATACCACTAAGTAATCCATGGGCCGAATGGAAGTCTTGAAGGAAATTTTAAAAATATAAAACCAAATGAAAATGAAAAGACAATATATCAAAAGATGTGGCATAAAGCAATCAAGTGATGAGATGGAAAGTTACAGCACTATATCCTTATATTAAAAAGAGGAAAGCCTCAAATTAATAATCTAACTTCACACCACAAGAAATTAGAAAAAGGAGACCAAACTAAACCCAGAGCAAACAGAAGGAAGGAAATAATAAAGAGCAAAA